CCAAGGTGGTGGAAACAGTGACTAACGGGATACCACTGCTTACCGAGAGATACCAGGAAGCTAAGCATGGCTGGTGAACCACCAAACGAACTTGCTCGCTGCTTCAGGCAGGAGCTCACCTGTAAAGGCCTCTGGCGGCTCCCAGGGCCATCCGAATGCGGACGTCCCAGGAGAGATGCCGTTGCTTGGTCAGCACATCCCGCAGCGTCCCGTGCTTACAGTACTCCATGACGATGGAGAAGCAGGGGCTCCCATCTGCAAGGCAAAACCTTGAGCATCCCACCTTCCGCCACCTTTTGGGAGGGGACCATGACAGACCATCTGCCACCAGCTATCACCGGGGACAGGCAGGGGAGGGAAAGGGTGACATTAATGTGACACCTCCTACCTTTCTCCTCAATGCAAATCCCATACATGCGCAGGATGTTTGGAGACTCAAACTTCTTCAGGGTCTGAATCTCCTTCTCAAAGATGTCTCTCACCTTCCTGCGGAAAGGGACAGCACCGTGAGGTCCACAGAGCAAGGCATGACATGGTGCCACACCAGCTTCCCCTTCTGGCTGCCCCGTGTCACTCCTGCCCAGAAAACTCACACTGGGTCAGTGGTCAGAGGCCTCTTGAAAGTTTTGATGGCAACAGGGTACTTGAGGTACTCGCCCTCGTAGAGGTCGTAGCTCTCAGTGTCCTGCAGGTGTCTGTAGAAGGTGAGGTGGTCCCGGTTGATCTCGGTGATGTCTTCTCTTTTACCAACATTGACCTTCTTCAAGCCTGCTCCCACCATGCGCCGGGAGGGAACGAGGGACACGTTAGGTAGGGAATGGAGGGAAAAGACACAGTGCGCAGGGTGCCTAGAGGTGCAACGTTGACTTACAGTCCATCACACGCACGATTTTGTTCAGCTCGCTTTGCATCCAGTCTACCTTGCTCACCATACATTGCCTGTCGATGTAGATCTCCTCAGCCGTGTCCTTGGGCTCCTCGGTACCTGGGGAGAGAAACGTGCAGATGTGGGGCCACTCGATGAACGTGCAGGACTGATGTAGTTAGCTTTTCTTGTGGTTTAAATGTCTCTTTGGCTCTCCTCAGCCGCGGCCATCAAGCCAAAGCTGGGCAGCAGCCAGGGAGAAGGGCTAACCGCTGGTCTCCATTACTTGCGATCACCTGGTCCAAGAAAGCCCTGTCGTCCCTCAGGTCCTCGGCATCCTGCCTGCGACGGGTCTTTGCCTGGAAAGCTTCCAGGAAAGCCTGCTTCTGCTCTGCCTGCAACAGGAGCGAGAGCCCCTGGGCGATGTCCTCCAGGCTCTCGTTCACCCAGACGAACTCCTCGCCAGCGCTGTGAGCTCTCAGGAACTTCTGGATCCAGCTGGTCTGGCTGTATTTCATCACCAGTTTCTGGGCTTCCCCCAGCGCCTGGAGCAGCTTCTTCAACAGTTCCTCTTCATGGTGGGAGATGTGCTTTCGCGGCTGAGCCTTGAGGATCCTCACGGGCTCCAGCAGGATCTGGATGCGCTCCACGAGGCGCTGGCACTGGTGCTTACAGCACTTCACCTGCTCGAATTGGGCGTGGATGACCTGGGCCACGGAGAGGACCCTCTCCACGATGTCCATGCTTGCAGCAAAGGGCTTGGCCTCTCAGGGCGCGGGCTGGTGGCGTCCGGTGGAGGTGAGCCTCGGGCACCACTTGGAGATCAGCTGGACGCAGCTCTTCCACACCTTCCACCCTAAGGAACAGCCTTAACATGGCACACCACCCTCCAGGTCTGCTACAGCCCCTTGTATCTCCTCCGGCTCTTCTACTTCCTCTGCTTTGCCCGGCACCGCGGCCACTCCTGCAGATCGGAGCGGGCGCTCGCAAACAGAGACACCGGTAGCAGCAGTATTGCCACATCTCGCTCCGCATTAGCAAGAGATGTTTGGGCTTGATTTATGTCCATTAAGTTAGTGTTAGCCATACCCAGAGAGCTTACGCGCACCCCAGCAGGGTCAGCGATGACCCAAGGAGCATCCTCCAGGCAGCGCTCCCCGGCGCCAGCCCCACACCACCGTGGGGTCCTGCCCACACAGCCTAAAGATCCGTTTCCATTTCCAGCCAACGTCTCTCTCTGTTATCACCCATCTAATAAAAGCTTTCACAGCTTTTCACACCTTCACAGCCCCGGCATCCCCTACTTCTTTGTATTTTCTCCCTCTAGCCCTGTATTGCTCGCTTAAGATTTTAAATCAAACTTTCTACACGCTCAGCATCCCCGCAGGGATGGTTCCTGCTCCCCAGCCCGCGTCCAGGCAGCAGGGACAGAAAACTGCCACGGTTTTGGGGAAATTAGCAGCAGCCACCCGCGCTGTTGACACAGCCAGCACTGAGAGAGGGGTGCCGGGACCTACCAGCTGGAAACGAGACAGGAATGCGCCCAGCAACAAGCCACAGCCGCTCTCCCTTCCTCTTCAGGCTCTCTCTCCAGCACTGTCCCCCGAGAAGAAGCTCATCCGCTTAATAAGAGAAATCAGCTGGGGTTACCTGGCCCTGCTTCGCTCGCCTCCGCCTGGGCTGCCTCGGCAGACTGGAGAGGCACAGCAGGACGAGCGCGAATTTATAGGGCGCTTTCCCCGGCCGCTGTTCCTGCGGGCGGCGGAAGGGCCATTGAGCAACCCGCCGTGGTTTCCCATGCCGCCCCGGCTCCCCGTTCCCGGAAAGCTGCTGGGGACGGCGGAGGAGGAGGGGGCCAGGTGAGCCCTGTCCCCCCGCGCTGGGTTTTGCCAGCTGGAAGACGGAATCGCCCGCAGGAAGAAGGAGATGGGGAGAGGCTGTGCCCCCCTGTATTAACACTCGCTGCTATTTTGAGCACCACAACCCCTTCTGCTGCGCCGCCAGCTCCGGCAAGGCTTTCCCAGGGCGCTGTAACACCCTCGGCATCAGCTCGGCGCTGGGCAGCGGGACCCTTCCAGAGCACACCCCTCCCACACCAGCACATCCTTTGGGACTTTCCGCTCCCTTCCCCATCCCCGCAACCCCAGGACACCCCAGCATCAAAGAAAGTGCTGGAAACGGCGCTTTGACCTCTGTCAGAAGTGCAGGAAACTTTGCGGCTGGCTTCGTCAGAGGGCCAGGCTGATTTTGAGAAGTGCGGGGCGGCACGTGATGTTTTGTTGCCCAACTTCGGAGAAGTGAGCGGCGGCTCCGACCAGCTTCTGCTAACCGAGAGCCTGGGGTCACGCAGGTTTGCTGGGGTTTCCCCCCGCCCCTACAAAGACCATCTCCCTCACCCCCACGATGGCCGAGGGCACGGCTTTCGTCAGCGAGGGGAAGCCGAGAAAGGTGACCGCAAGGTACCGCGGCCCCGAGGGCCCTCAGCGCCTGGGAAGGGATGCACCGAGGAGTAGGAGCAGCACCGAGGGATACGTTTGCCAGACCCTTTTTAAAAGGCTTTATTTTTTTTTTTTTCAAAATATACAGTTTATTTACAATTGTAGTGTCTACAGTTATATATATAACTTTATTCCAAACCTTTAAATATCCGCAGTAAACATTAGAAAAAAAAATAATAAAATCACAGGATCAGCAAAAAAAAAAAAAAAGGCATCTCGTAGCAATTCTGTTCATTGGAGTTTGAGTTTCAAGTAGCCAATGTCTACAAAAAAACATGAACTTGATGAATCTGGCAGAGAGATACGGGCGCACTGGTTAGAAAAAGGCAAAATCCAGACCTGCGGGACCCCCACCCCAAAGGCTGCAGGCCAGGAGAACCCTGTGCTGGCATCGGGCCGGGAGAAGGACCCGGGATACGGAAGCCCCTCAGCACGAGTTAGGTGATGGGGTTAACTGCAGCGTGACGGGCACCCCGGAGAGGGGACACCCCGGAGAGGGGACACCCCGGAGAGTGCCAGGGGCTCAGTGGGGGGGACTCCGGCGAGGTGCCGGGGTGGAGGAGGGCATCGGGCACTTCATCTCTCGGGCAGCAGACCTGCCCGTGCATCCGTGGCCTGGAGCTGGAGGGTGGCGAGGAAGACGGTGACATACTGCAAGGGAAGAAACGAATACAGGAGTCTGAGCACCCACGATACGATACAGGGAACAGCAGTGTCACTACAGCAGCATTAGCGGAAGCACACCTCTGTGACAGCTCACCCCAACAGGGACACGGGGCTGGAGGGGACCGCATGGGTCAGCAACCCCAGTTGCAGGGCAGGGAGCTGGGACTGCCAGCAAGGTCAAATCGCCTCCTCGGGAAGGGCTATTTCACCCCAGCCTTCAGAGGAAGCATTTATCCTTGGGTCTGGCCAGCTTGCAACTCAAAGGCATGAGAACACCTGCCAGTCCTCCCACTTTTGCTGGGCACCCATGTACCAACGGTGCGTCAGACAGCGCTGCCCACTCCCTGCTCCCAGCCCGCTCCTTACCCGTCCGCTCTGAGCACGTGGCCGGGATGGGATGTCGCCCAGCTACGTGCAAAGGTGACAACGGCTGACATCGACGCCGGGGCCAGGCGGTACCTCTGGAGAGGCTGGCGAGGGAGGAGCGCCCGCGTTTTGGGGAGGGAGGAAGGCGAGGCGAGGAGGAAGAGCAAAGGGAGGAGAAGGAGCAGGCTGGGCCATGCCACCAGCCCCAGCTTATCTGGACGGGGCGTTTTCTCCTAGGAAACCGGGCAAAGGGCAGGTTGAGCAAGAGCCGGGCTGGGGAAGGTGTGGGGCGGACCCGGGGAAGCCCAGGACCTCACCCTGCGCCCGTCAACGCCTCCCGACAGGAGGAGATGCTGCCCCGGGCACCCACATCCCAGCGCCACGGGGTTCTGCCTCCACCTCGGCATCCCCGGGCGGCATCGGTGCCCGCCGGCGAGACGGACTGCTGCCTTCGCCCCGGTACCGCACCGGCTCCCCATCCTCAACCCGGGGGGGGCTGAGAAATGCACCCCATGGGGCTGCAGCACCTCGTACGTGGCTTCCCCAGCAACACGGCTCCGGGCTTTCCCCACCCTCAAATCCCAAACGCCAAATATTTCAGAGCATCAGCTGCCCGGGCAAAGGCAGGCTGGGCTTCGACAGCCCTTGCCGCCACCGGCATGCGCAGGAAAGGCGGCGCTACCTGATTTGTGGTGTTCAAAGTGGTGCTTGACGTGATAAGCCTTCAGCCCGTACAGGTAGGTGCCTTTCTTGGGCGAGCCGTAGTGGAGGTAATAGTGCATCATGTCATAGATGACGTAGCCGCAGAGCCCTCCGACGAACACCGAGAGCCCCAGCACCTGGGGCAGCATGAGCCGCAGGATGCCGTAGAAGAAGCCCATCACCAGCGAGGCCGGCATGGGAGGGAAGACCAGGCGGGAGCTGTCGAAGGGAGACTGGAAGCGGAGAAGGAGGGTGGGTCAGGCAGCTCCTCACTCGCCCCACCTCCCCCAACCCCCAGAACACCCCTGCAGCGGGAAACGCTCGTTCGGGAAAAGCCAACACCGAAGCAGCCCCTGGAAACCCTCCCCAAGAAGATGGACGTGGCGGTGAGAGCAGCCCCTTGCCCACGCCAAGGTGGGAGGCAGCTGGTGGCTTTGGCTCGCGTGTCCCTGAGCTCCCCGGGGGACGTTTCCTCCAGCGAAGCTAGAGGGAGCCCATGGGTTTTTTTCCAGTCTTCCCCCTCACCCAACCGGAGCTCGCAGGTTTAACTCCAGCTCCTCCGAGCCCGTCTTGCAGCCCTCGCCGGTATTAGGTAAGGGCCCCGCTTGGGGCGAAGATGCCACGAGTCACGTTGAACACGCACAAACAGGCTCCGCCTGAGCAAAGGCCACCGTTCCCACGGCCCGGCGGGCGCCGGCGGAGGCGTAAGCTGCGACTCACCTTGTGATGCTGCCCATGCAGCAAGAAATGCAGGGTGATGAGATAGTAGTTACTAGCGGGTGGCTTCATGTGGAAGACAAAGCGATGGATGAGGTACTCTAGCAGGGACCACAGGAACATCCCCAGGAGGAAGATGAAGGGGAAGTAGTATTTGTGGACGGGGATGGAGTACTCTACACAAGGAGACGCGCAGGGGTCAGCAGGGCAGGCGAGGCGCGGGTGCTCTTATCCATCGCCATCCTCCCGTCGGCATCCGGGTGAAGCTCGGCTCTCCCTCCCTCTCACCTCTCGTCCGCCTTCCTGCCCTCCCCGGTGCGCCGCCTTCCCAAGCACCGCTCCAAACCACGTTTTCCTTCCCTTCCCATTAATTTACGCTCTTTACAGAAACACTCAGCTTCTCGATGCTACAAGAAGCCGGCGAGGGGGGGGTTCCCCTGCATCCCAGATGCCGGTGGGGGCCTGGATGTGCACTCCAGGGACAGCCCTGTCCCTGCAAAGCTGCTTTGCCCACCAGAACAAGGCCAGAGGGGACCTCATCTGCTCAGGCAAAACTCGTGACAGTTAAACAGTGTTGCTGGCATTGTTTGTCTTTTTTTTTTTTTTTTTTTTAATCTTTGGAAAAAAAGAATATGTTTGTTGGGCACTTTCCCCCGCAGAGCATTTTTTAGCCACCTCCTCCTTTCAGAGCCAGCTGGCAGCCCTATGTCCTTGCTAGCAGAATTTAGATCCCCCCCAAATATTCATTTGGGGGGAAAAAAAAATATTAAAAACAAAAATCAAAACTCCTTTGGCAGCAAGGTGCTGAATGCCGCAAGGAGCAAGGAGGGGAGGGGGATACCGGTGCAGCGGGCACTCCACCCCACAGCCGGGCACAGCTGGCACCGGGTGGCACCTTGCAAAAAAAATAGGGAGCCCAGCAAAAAAAAAAAAAAAAAAAAAAGGAAAAAAAAAAAAAGAAAAACAAAGACACACGCCCGCCG